TTGTTTGCATTGGAGGACGCCTCCACGAACATGTAGTACTGTCCCTCGCTCGCAGATGATGGCCCCGTGCCCGAGGAAGGCGTTGAGCCAGCTCGTCGCAGCCACGCCTCACCAGCGCCAGCTGTATAGCCACAAGTGTCTGTCTCAAAGCCGCAATCCAAGATGTCATAGCCAAGCAAAGCGGTAGCCACGGCATCCAGGGCGATGTTGCTAAACCGAGTGGTCCCTGTGACCGCGCGGAAGCGCAAGCGACTCGCGTCGGCAGGGACCGTTATCAGAGCTCGCTGCCACTGGGTGTCCTGAGAGACCGGTGGTGTCCACAAGTCGGCCCACGATGTCCCGTCCCAAGACTGCAGCGTCAGGCTGCCAATGTCGTGACCCAATGGCAATGACCAGTGATACAACCGGAATAAAAAATAGCTGAAGTGCAAGTGTCTGAGCCCACCATCGGCATTCAAAAATCCAGAACTTTGCAGGAAGAACTCCTTGTCCGGATAGTTGCCCTCGGCCCGAAGAAACACGTACCTTGTTCCTTCAAAGGCGGCATTGGGGCCTGATCGGTGCCAATCTACCGGACCATCCGTGGTCTGCCATGCCTCGTTCCCAGCCCAGAAGCAGAGGCCAGTCTCGAAACCGCAAGCCATATCACTGAAGTCAGGCACTCTGGTTGTGGATGTCGCAGTTGTCGAGGTCGCAGTCGTCATAGTGGATGTCGTGAACGTAGAGGACGAACTGGACGTGCCCACCGCATCCAGGCTTATGTCTCCGCGAGAAGTACCTCCAGTTCTTCCCAAGAAGCGGACCGCCTGCGCGCTATCTGGCAAAGCGACGAAGGCCTGATGCCACGCATCGCCCTGGTCGCCTAACAAGGCCCACTCCGTAGTCCAATTCGACCCATTGTAAGACTGCAGCTTTAGGCTGCCCATGGTGTCGATGTACATGTGGTAGCTGAAGTACACCCACCTCGGAAAGCCGTCGCCGGCTGCAAAGGCCGAACTCTCCAGCGCGAACTCTAGGCTGGGATGGTTCCAGAGACTGGCCTCCAGATACATGTAGTGCGAGCCAGAAAATGCAGCTGACGGCCCCGTGTCTCCAGTCGACGTTCCACCGCTGATCCGATTCCAGGCGCAGCTTGGGGTGACCACGCCGTCAAGGAGCTCTGAAGTTCTAAACTTCTGAGTGCTCGCACCGGTGCAGCTGCTGAGCACAAGGTTATGGCTATCCGTGCTGTGCTCTACGCAACGGTGGTCATGCAGGCTGCGGAGTCGCAGTGCATCATCCCAGTACCACTGTTGGTTCAGGCCACCGTGGCAACCCGAGAGCTCCAGATTTCCTGTGTGGATGTTGTGGTCTAGGCACCAGCCGACATAATACAAGGTCTTGATGTACCCGTTCAGCATGAACCAACGTTGATTGTCGTTCGCGTGACACGAAAACATTTTCACGTTCGAACCACGAAAGTCGAAGTCCATACACATGCCGCCGACCTGGTCAAGCAACAGGAAAGGGACAATGGTACCGGTGAAGCTCTGGCAGATCCAACCACAACTGTCGTCCTCAAAGTCGCAGCCCAACACCTCATAGCCTGGGACAGTCGTCGTCAATGTCAAACTTGTGGCAGTGGATGTCGTGAACGTAGAGGACGAACTGGACGTGCCCACCGCATCCAGGCTAATGTCTCCGCGAGAAGTACCTCCAGTTCTTCCCAAGAAGCGGACCGCCTGCGCGCTATCTGGCAAAGCGACGAAGGCCTGATGCCACGCATCGCCCTGGTCGCCTAACAAGGCCCACTCCGTAGTCCAATTCGACCCATTGTAAGACTGCAGCTTTAGGCTGCCCATGGTGTCGATGTACATGTGGTAGCTGAAGTACACCCACCTCGGAAAGCCGTCGCCGGCTGCAAAGGCCGAACTCTCCAGCGCGAACTCTAGGCTGGGATGGTTCCAGAGACTGGCCTCCAGATACATGTAGTGCGAGCCAGAAAATGCAGCTGACGGCCCCGTGTCTCCAGTCGACGTTCCACCGCTGATCCGATTCCAGGCGCAGCTTGGGGTGACCACGCCGTCAAGGAGCTCTGAAGTTCTAAACTTCTGAGTGCTCGCACCGGTGCAGCTGCTGAGCACAAGGTTATGGCTATCCGTGCTGTGCTCTACGCAACGGTGGTCATGCAGGCTGCGGAGTCGCAGTGCATCATCCCAGTACCACTGTTGGTTCAGGCCACCGTGGCAACCCGAGAGCTCCAGATTTCCTGTGTGGATGTTGTGGTCTAGGCACCAGCCGACATAATACAAGGTCTTGATGTACCCGTTCAGCATGAACCAACGTTGATTGTCGTTCGCGTGACACGAAAACATTTTCACGTTCGAACCACGAAAGTCGAAGTCCATACACATGCCGCCGACCTGGTCAAGCAACAGGAAAGGGACAATGGTACCGGTGAAGCTCTGGCAGATCCAACCACAACTGTCGTCCTCAAAGTCGCAGCCCAACACCTCATAGCCTGGGACAGTCGTCGTCAATGTCAAAGTTGTGGCAGTCCCTGTCGATGTCGTGAATGTAGAAGAAAAGCTCGAAGTGCCAAAGGCATCCAAGCCAATGTCGCTCTGGAAGTCTTGTCCGGTTGCCCCAAGAAAGCGAAGTGCCTGGACATCATCCGACAAGCCGATGAAGGCCTGGTGCCAGCTGTTGCCCTGGTCGCCGGATAGGCTCCATTCTGTGGTCCAGTTGGAACCATCATAGGACTGCAGCTGCAGGCTGCCCATAGTACTCCCATACATATGGTAACGAAAATGCAGATTCCTCGCCTCTCCATCGCCCTTTGCAAACATCGGGCTCTCCAGCACGAACTCCTTTCCAGGTCTGCTGCCGGTCGCCTCCAGATAGATGTACTGGGAGCCAGAAAATGCTGCTGACGGCCCAGTGTTCGCCGAAGGTGTTGGGCCGACCATTGGCATCCAAGCACAATCCCTGGCTGAGCCCAGGCTGTCGACTTCGGCCTGGATTGGCGGCTCCATGGCGACCCAGAGCCACACAGCTTTGAAAGTTGTGCTGCTGTTACTGCATGTGCCTGCCCCACTGGCGAAATAAGCAGTCCAACCTGCTCCCAGTTCCGTGGCAGTGGCTTGCCCCCTAAGTCCAATGCCGATGGCTGCATCTGCATCATTGCTGTCACTGTTCTGGCATGGCTGGGCAGCACAGTTCAGGCAGAAGCCCCAGCGGGCTTTATTGCCGTCATTGCATTCGATGTTGAAGCCGGGCCTCTGCATCGGGCAGTCCTGGTAGGAGCCAGGTTCAGGCCCGAACACGTTCAGAAGATCATCACGTCTCACGGTGCTGTCTCGAATATATCCAGAGCTGAAAAGTGCCTTGGCATTCGCGTAAGTCCTCGTGAAGACGTGCTCCATGCAGTTTGACTGCGGCCTTCCGACACACATGCGGATCTTGTGAAAGGGCACCGTGTTGAATGAATCGTACTTGGCATCCTCCTCTTCTGCCGTTGGTGACGCATGGTTCAGGAGCTCGCTGTTGGTCCAAAGCGGCGAGGAATATCCTAATGTTGACGTCTTGCCCACCTTCAATGCCAACTTCCACGTCTCTGTTTCCGACCATGACTGTTCGGATGAGACCAGGGAAGCGTCAAACTTCTGGTTGTTGAGATCGCTGCAAGTCTCCATGACAAGGCTGTCGCTGTGTGGTTCATGATGCATGCAGGAGTTGTTGTACGGGCTGCGGAGCCGATGCCAATCGTCCCAATACCACGTCTGGTGTGTCCCATTGTCACAGGCCGACACCTGGAGCATACCTGTGTGGATGTCAAAGCCCAGGCAATTTCCATCGTAGGATGACTTGATGTTGCCATCCTGCTCGTACCAAATCTGGTTGCTGCCCAAGTAGCACTGGCGCATGGACGCATTCTGCCAATGCACGCTGTTATAATCATAATCTACGCACAAACCGTCCTGGTGGCCAATCAATCGGATCAATTCCCCCTTGCTTGTGCAGGCCCAGCTACAGCTGTCAGTTTCGAAGTCGCAGGCCACAACCTCGTAGCTTTGCAGCTTCATCGCGGTGGTTGTCCGTGTGGCTGTGGTCGCTGTCGAGGATGTGGAAGATGCGGTGGATGTGGAAGATGCGACCACGTTGACGCGCAAGGCATCCAGGCCGATGCTGGTATAAGGGCTATTGCCAGTGGTGCCGATGAAGCGCACCCGGACTGCATGGGCGGGTAAGTCGACAACTGCCGGGACCCATTCTTCGCCTTCCACCGTGCTTGCAGCCCACAAATCCCTCCAAATAAGATCGGGTGACGCCAGAAACTGCAGCACGAGGCTGCCCATATCATTCGTGCTGGAGTGGAACAAGTAATAATCGAAGAGCAACTGCTGGAGTGACCCGTCCTTGTTCTCGAAAGAAGGGCTGACAGCTTCGAAGTCCTTCTTGGGGATGGTTCCACCAAAGGCCGTCAAGCTCAAAAACCACTGCCCCTCTGATGCCAAACGCGGCCACCCCAATGTCGGGTTCCACCTGTACGGCGCTTGACTCCATGGCCGCCAGGCGCTGTCAGTTTGCCAATGGCAGGACGAACCAGATTCGAAGTCGCAGGTCAGAGTGTCGGCTATGCTCAAACTCTGCACCCGTCTGCGCCCAGACCACCCAGAAACAGGCACGACCAGCAGAAGAATCTGCAACGCTGCCAACAGAGTCCAGCAGCAGGTGCTGCACGCATGGAAGTTGTTCGCGGTCATGGCTGCAGTCTAAAACAGTTTCCGGTGCTCACGTAAGCTACTTGGTTCGCATCTAGGGATCTTGACTACAACGTGAAGGCAGGGGCAAACAGGGTCTGTGGAAGTCGTCACGAGCTTAAAAATCTGAGCCGCAGCCATTCAACCCCAGACCTTGGTTTGCAACTAGCTCTCCCTCTCTCCGTCTCTTCCTCCTCTTGCGAACACAGAAGTAGAGAGGAAGCGCTCTCCGCTGCATGTGGAAGCACCATGATCCACCTTGATATAGTCATCATCCGTTCTTCGCGCAAAATGGACAGTGACCTGACTGCTTTCACTTGGATTCATGATTTCATGGTTGCAGCAGAACACAGAACCCCCTTTGGACGCACAAGGGACCGGAAATGTGCGAGCATCAATGCGCAGCACCGGAGGAGGCATTGGAAAAAGCCTCGATCCAATCAGTCATGCGAGTCCCTGGATGGAATGAAAAATTGCACGCAGCCTGAGGATGAGACTGCTGGTTTTCAGTGAAATCGCAAAGTCGCAAGGTCGCAGACATGATCACCTTCGGCGGAAGCTTCCCGGTTCGCGTGCTGGAGCTCCGGATCCCAAGCCCTGAAAGCCGAGACCCCAGCTAGCTTCAACGGTGGTGTTGGGAGCTGCGACTCGCTGGCCCCTGGACACATGTGCTGCGTGCTACCTGCCTTTTAACATCACTCTACCGAATTTTGTTCCATTCTACTTTTGCACCTGTCGTGCCTTTGGCCGCATTCCTTCGGTTGGCTGCCACTGCCTCCAATCGAAGAGACGTACATACTTCGTGCAATGCAGGAATTCTGAGGCCAAAAGCTCCTATCGTGAGTGAGCGGGTTTCCAGCACCTCCTCGTAGTCCTTCCGCCGGCGCTGCACCGCGCGCGACAATAGGCCGATAAGGATGTCGCAGTTCACCTGGCATTGGCAACAGCACTCCAAGCAGGACGAAAACACGTGGTCTGAGTGGCGCTGGAATTTCGGACAACTCTGCCAGAGAAGCTCCTCTCTCATGCGCCTGCCAAAGCCGGATCACAGAGGAGCAAGGCAAAACCGCTCAGAGAGACCGCATGGTGATGCCAATGAGCTTGTGCCCATGCATGACATGTGCAGAACTAACTAACGGGTCCAGGGGTCGAGAGAGATATAGAGATGGATAGACAGATAGACAGAAGTGTAGACACAAGTTTAAGTAGACCAGTCGACAAATATGTCAGTACAAGCAAGCATACACAAATACATACGGACAGACAGAAAGATGTGTGGATAGAAAGCACCGCCTGTTGTCCACATAAGGACAAGAATACATGCGCACATCGGCACGGGGCAGGCATATGTAGAAGCAACATACAGTGCCAATGTAACATTCTAAAGACAGTGTCCAACACTTCAGCTTCTTCTTCTTCATGTGCTACTACGCAAACAAAAATGACCGATGCAACTTGTATGTATGCATGCATGCATGCATGTATGTATGTATGTGTACGGATGTGTAGTATATGAACATGTATGCACCTATGCATATCTCTGTTCGCGTGCACCTGTGCATAAAACTATATGTGCACGGCATGTCCGCATTTCTGTACATATGTATGCTTGTATGCACGCATGCACGTATGCAGGAAGCTAGGTGGCCAGGTAGCTAGGTATGTACAGACATGCATGGGTGGAGACTGATAGATGGATGTTCGGATAGATGTACGGATGGCTGTATGAATGCACGCATGTGTGGACGAGCTCAAGCCGATACCCATGGCCAGGCTTCGTCGATGACGATGGCTGCGTACTTGCGACAAAGAAAATCCGCTTGCACCTGGTCACTGAATGTTGGGCACGACCTTGCATAGAGGGATCAAGGTGCCAGGCCTCCCGCAGCAGAATTCCATCCGTCATGAACTTGATGCGCATGTCCTTCGTGCTGTAGCTCTTGTCGTATCTGACCTGCCCACAACTTCAAAGCTTTGCCACGCAGCATGGAACAGCTAACAACGCGCGTGATCTGCATCATCATGAGCCTGGTACCCAACCCTCTCTGACTGGTTTAACTCCTGGCCCACTCGCCTGCCGAGACATCATGCTGGCATCTGATGATTCCAAAAATCCTCGCTGAGAAAAGGACTGTGAGACGGAGATCGCTGCAACCTCAATGTCTCGAAAGGGGTCTATAAGTCCGTTCCACTCAGTTCCACACAGCGCCGACGTACTCAGGACCCCACACGGCGCGGTTGAGTCACGCCGATTAGGCTCTCATCGCCGTTGCAGAGGCCACACCTACAGCAATTCGCTGGCACACTTCCGGTTCATCGGAAGAGCAGGCTACATGCTGCATGGCTGTGCGAATTTTGACCAATGCAGCTGTCTGAGCCAAAGTCACCGGGTCTCAGAAGTCGCGCTCACAGAAGCCAGCATCCAACGTACGTTTGGTGTGCTGGATCGTCACGGGTAGGACTGGGCCAGTTGCTCTCGCTCCCAGTGACGTGCTAGTTCGACTGGTCCACGAGTATCACTTATCTTCGCCCACTGCCTTCGTGCTGCTACACGTACATGAAGAGGATTTCTCTTACTTTGTTCAGCCCGTTGGCGTCAGCCAACGACAGCGCACTGTGTCCTGCAGAATCCTCCCGGCTCACACTTGCTCCTGAAAGGACTGCAGCACTCAACCCTTGACAAGAAAGATGCGGAAAGGCAGGTACAGATCTCCGCGGCTCCTTCTTCACAAAGCCTCTCCAGTGCCCACATGTGCGCATCGGATGCCTCAAAGTTCCGAGTGGTCCAGCGAACGTCATCTACCTGGAACGGCTCAATCCTACTGTCGCAAGACGCATGAAGACAAAGTGACAAGCCTTTTCTTCAGCCCAGGCACGTAGTTTTGCAAGCAAGACCGGCCTTGCTTGGGCTCTGCTTGATCTATCGGGATGCGCTGTTGAAGAACAAGGTCCACACAACGTGCATGATCTTCTGCTGAGCGCTTGAGGAAGCACATACCCTCACAGGCCAAGTGTAAGAGTGACTTGCCACTTTCGGTTCGCAGGTCCGGCACCGACCGCTTGTACCGGTCTAACAGCGCTGCCAGGCTGACTGCGTTTCCCGTGTAGGCTGCCAGCACCAGCTCATGAGCCGTCACTTCCACGCCCTGTTCCACCAGCCAGTTCACCACATGCGCATGATTTCCCAGTGATGCATAAAGAAGCACCGACCAATTGATGGGGTTCTTGGCTTGGACGTCGGCCTGGAACTCGGCAAGAAGGCGGACAGCCTCCAGGCATCCACCCGCACAAGCAAACATCAGCGGACAGACGCCAAGGTCGTCCAGCTCTGTGGCTCTGCCAGCATCTTCCTCCAGGAGCCTGCGCAGCTCCTGAATCTCTCCCAGCCTCGGTTTCCGCTGCGTGTTCTTAAAGCTGGAGTCACTCGGTGATGGGAAGGGAACTGCACTGCACTGCAAAAACTTCTGCTCTGATCAGTCATGGCCGCTCTGCGGCGGCAGCCACCCGACTCTTGACACGGCGCAGCTGCCCAGGTTCTGGCTGAAGCAACTCTTCGTATGCGGCAGCAATGGCCTGGAAGAGCTCGGTGGCTTCCCGCTGCTCCTGGCTCTTGCAAAATTTCCTTCCCAGAAAAACCCGGCTTCAAGCCCTTTTGCCCAATTATGTCCTCTGGCGAGCATTTGTCCGGGTGGTACAGCAGAGCGAGTCGCAGGTACACGCGCCGGAGCTGCTCTGGTGGACATGGTAAGTGCGATGCGAAGAGCTCACGTGCATCGTCCAGTCTCGGCAGCTGCTTGGCAGCAGACTGAGACAGCGCCAGCGCGCACATGGACCAGGCCCATGCAGCAATTCCACATGTGCCCTCATCTAACTTTCTGCATTCAGGGCATGTTCAACTAACCCTCTGTCAACTGTCTGTGTCAGAGTGTGCTCGAGTCTGTGAGGGCGCCATGCCATGGCAAACATCCCGAAGAAGTAGTGCCTTGAAGGACCCTCAAATGTCGTCTCCCGTCATCTCGAAGAGCAGGTTGGGATGAGATATGAATAAGACAGACAGCCAAGCTCGGGTTCCCGCTCGTAAAGAAACTGTGGCACCTCAAGGCACAAAAGAAGCGCGGAAGGGAACACTCGTCCCGTTTGTTGGCGGCTCGGCCTGTGTGGATTTGCCACAGCCCGTGTCTCCGCAGACCTGCATGGCTTGATTCCAAGATATCAAACAAAGCTGCGAACCCCTGAGGCCCCGGCTAGCATCACATCGTTGCTCAAGGCCATCTCGACAAACTCCTGCCTGCTTCCGTCGACTCCGACAGCCACACGTGCTGTGCTCGACTCCTGATTAAGGCCCTGTCTCCATCATGACTGCTGGCAGCCTCGAACGTTGCTCCTGCTAGCATCCGACAAACCGGGAATGCATCATGCGCCTGCTCGCGCGATCTGAGATGTTTTCGGGCGCCGGTCCTCGATGCCGGCCGTCCGCTGCACACGCACCTCTCTCGAAGACATGCCACAACAAGCCCATTGATGCCTCCAAGTCGGCGAGCCGTTTGAGGCTTTGACTGGTATCAAAGGCTGCGGAGCAGGTCCCGGTGCCGGTGCTTTGGCCTCGGACTACAGGGAATGACTCTGTGTCTGCGCTGTGCTCCACAGACAGAGGCTTCAGGCCTTCGCTTTTGGCTTCACCTCTGGCTTCGCCTTGGCAGCTGATGGGCCTGGCCTCAAAAGGCTGTCGCCGGCACTGGCTTGGCTACGACTTTAGGGAAAGCTTGTGGCGAAAGCCTTGCCATGCTCAGGAGTGGAGCTGTTGTACTGGCCTGACGTGTGACCGCAATCTGTTGTTTCGTTGGCTATGTGATTGATGTGATTGTGACATGATCGCCGGCCTCTGGTGGGGAGGTCGTTGAGGCACCTGCACCTTTCATCGAACTGCTTGGGGCCAGACCCTCGTCCTCGCTGGACACCTTGCGTTAGCGCCACCCACCCACTGCCGCCACCTCTCAACTGGTGAGAACTGCTGTCGGACATTGCCTCATCACCTTCAGCATCGACGCTGCCCTCCTTACACCGAGTGAAAGTGTAAGACAGGTATATAGAGTAGGCAAGAGAAACACCAAACCACTCGCTCAACAGCCTCGTCTTCTCCATCTTCGTGACGTCTCAGCTGACGGGGCCGTCGTTTGAGCTTGTCCTGCTGTGTGGAAAAAGCGAAAGCATCAGGGACTTCACTTCTTCGAGGCCACATGATGCGCCACCTTCATGTCGGATGTCAGAGGCACGCCCAACTGGGCACGGCGCTGCGCCATGGCCTTCTGCTGTCTTTTGGACAACCTCCAATGACAGTCAAGGGACAGTGTCTAGGCCCGTTTTCAGGTGACTCTCGCCGCCTCGTGCTCTGGGAGGCTCTGAGGAGTTCAGCTTGCTCTGCCGTCAATTGAACCGCCTCCGCCCAATCAAGGCTTTCCGGCCCCCCCACTCGGTGCTTCGAATCGGGCAAGAACCAAAGATCATGGAAGAAAGGAGCCGATGCACCTTCAACTCTTCCAGAACTTGAGTCCTCAACTCCTTGCTCGCCTGTTTCTGCGCAAGTTGCTCCTTGGTGGAGCCATCGAATTGAATCGAAAAGGTGCTTGCACTTTCGATCCCGAGCCCGAGCCAGGTTCCAGCTTCCTCTTCTTGCGCTTGCTCATCTTTTTGACCTCCTCCGTCTCAGGAGCAGCTTTCGGGGCCTTTTCCCGTCGCGAGGGCAGCACCTGCGTCGAGGCTGCGGAAATCTCCAAGCACCTACATGAGTTGCCGACCCACCTCTGCATTGGTGTCCGATGCCAACCGAGGCGGTTCGCTACTTTCGTCATGTAGCCCCGCCATCAGCCGGCCGGCCGTGCGACATTTGTTGAGGCCATCTACAATACCTACAGGAAGGAATGCAAACGACACAAACAAAGCCTTGCATGTTCGGACACTGCACGCTGCAAAGCTTGTCGGGGGCCTACCCCTACGGTCCCTCTCTGTACCTGTGAGTCTATAGCACAAGCAGCTAGCAGAGTACGGACCAGTCTTTGTAGCAGTACAGAAACGACCTTGGCTCTGCGGTGTCTCATTAGTCATGAGGGCTTGCTGGAGCACAAGCTGTCACCGAAGATAATTCAGCATGGCCCTCCTGCATCAATGCCATGCTCTCATGCAACTTCTACTCGGATGGTGATTTCTGGTTTTGCCGCACCAACTCAAGAGATGTCCACGTCGAAATATGTCCAAGGCCTCATAGGGATCCACGTGGTGTGACTCAAACGACCAAGCAGTGACTGAAGGCTCTGGCATGTCTTCTTCGGCTTGGTGCAGCCCCTGGGAGGTGACACCTGAAAACCACAGCCTCGGCGACTCTTCGGGCACCAGGCCTCACCTATCCGTACCTGCCGTACCTTTTCCACACGGACATGCTTGATAACTTGCCCAGACTGGGGCATGCTCGAGAAGCGTTCCAGCCGTGGCTGCGTTAACGTTGCCAGGAACTGCAAGGAAGCGTCCTTCAAGACACATTCCGAATGTGGTGAATGTGCCGTAGCATGCCGAATACGCATTCACAATTCACGGTGTCATTCTCTGTGAGTGGCCGACTGTGATTCCACAGCCGCCACATCGCAGCCGACAGAGCTCGCCTAGGGCTTCTTCCGGACCACATGCTTTGTGTTTTTGCGGAAAAGCCTCCGGACCTACGACTTCCCGACTTCCCGGTCAGGTGCATCTGAGAGGCGGCAGGCTGACAGCATAAGTCGAACCCCTTCATCTGTGATGCGGTGGGACGCGACGGTGAAGTCCTACACTTGCAGTCAGTTGTGCAGCATTACAAGTCATTTATCAGAGCAAGGCATCAACACCAGTGCACACCCTCAACCCTTCTCTCAACTGCGGATGGTCCCGAAGCATGCTGCAAGTCTGCACGACAGACTGCAAGCCCACATCGTCAATCAGGCCTAGGCAGGCACGTCCTACAGACCTTGCCCTGTCCAAGCAAACCTTGGACCTTAGCCTTTCCCCTGCTCGCTGTGGCTCAGGCACTCCGCAGAAACTCCTTTCTGCATCAGCTTGTGCGGGCCCAGCCACAAATGCCGCAAACACCTCTGACTCAAAGAGGCAGCCACCGCAAAACAAGCCCAGGCCCAGCCTCCATGAAGTCCATAGTCTCGTCTGCAGGAACCCGTTTGTCATGGGAGCGAACAAGGACAGAGACCTGGCAAGGGGAACCTTATACGGTGAGGGCCTGTAACGCCGATGATGCAAAACACACTTGACCCACATGCCTCATTCTGAGAGCGCGCCCTGAGTCGAAGGCCTCGAGGCAAAAGCACCAGAAGGCACGACGCTATGCTTTTGTGGTTTTGGCACGTCCACCGGACGTGCTACTCTAGCACGGCTGGCTCCGCAGACTTTTTGTGCAAGGACTGCAGTGCATCGGTGAAACGGCTGCACTTGCAAAGGGGGGGGTTGGGCTATCGGCTATCAGCTCAGGCCAAGACTCGGTGGGGAGTCACCACCTTCTGCTTCACTCTGCATGGGCATGAATGGGGAGTGCCTGCACATTGGACATCGCGGACATTTCTGAAGCCACTGGGACCTGAGCAGGACAACTCCGGATGACCTGTATGCTTTTGTCTGCGAACGTTTTCTGAAATGCTACGTGTAGGTGTTTGATGTTTGCTGGGCAACTGAGGCGTGCACGCACATGCGGCATGAAAGGAATGCCCACATGGAAGAGGGATTAGAGGCATGTGCATCTGCTTCGGCGGCCGCAGCGGCTCCAAACAAATCGGGCACTCCTCCAAGTTCATACTGACTTTGCGGCTCAGGCTGGGCAGCCTTGAACCTTTATCCGGACTCAGGCACACTGCCTTGGTCCCTGTTAAACCTGCCCTCAAGAAGTCGAGCTGACGCCGCCAATCTCTGTCATTGCTACTCGCTGCCACGGATCCCGTTTGCCGAACGCTTTCCACCCACCTCTGAATGCCTTCTACAGCCGAAGACGGCGGCTGGATGGGAGGTAGAGGCGAGTGCGGCGACGAGGCTGGGCCAGGGGATGGAAAAGGCGACACTGATGGCGGTGGCGGCGATGGGCAGCCCTGTCTCTGCTGCCGGTTGGGGCCCCTCTGCGCCAAGGAAGTCACGCTTGCAGCAGCCGCGGCGTAGCGGGCTTCGGCCCTGTCACGTGCCGCAAGGGCCTTGGCCGTGAGCGCCTCTGCTCCCGAGGAGCCTGCGGTGACCGCTGCGAGCACGGCTTTCAGCTTCTCCAGTTCTGCCCGCAGCACGGGCAAGAAGACCACTAAGTCCTTGCGCTGCGGCTTCAAGTTCCCCAGGCGTTCCCGCAGCCAGCATTCGACAACAGCGAAACGGCGACAGACCGCTTGGAGGGCCATGTGTCGAACCAATGCTTCGTCCTCGCACTCCTTGCAGTCGCTGTGGCAGAACTCCCAGGCCGTCTTCCAGACCTGGTGAATCTCCAGGCCCTTGTCCGGCACTGCCTGCAAGAAGGCCGATTCCACGTTATGCCGCTTCGAAGGCGCGGCGATGTCACTGGGCGTCTCTGGGAAATCCCAGCCCTTCCGGTTGAGCTCCGCCACGAAGTCCTCCAACCTCCGCAGCCGGTACTCGCACTCGTCGAACGGGTCCTCGAAGAGCCGGGAGACCAGCGCCCCCCCCGCCGCTCCAACCACGTCCGCGTCCGCCCCTCTGCGAAAAAGCCCAGGGAGCTCGGTCACCAGCTGCAGCATGCGACCCGCTGCCCCATTCGGGCTGCAGGCGCAAGCTGTCCAAACGCAAGAAAGCCCCTGAGCAGTAGCGGGGCCTAGCTATGGCTCTGTGTGACTCTAAACCTCTGGCCTTCGGCCTTCATCCTCGAGCCACTTCAAAGAGACAGGTTCTGCTTCCCGCACGACATCACAGATTGCAGGCGTGGCTGGATGCCTCGTTCCCGTCAAGGGGCGACAGCCTTAGACGAAGGCGAGGAGATGCAAGGAGACGAGGCCCGGCCCGAGGCTCCGCAGGCTCCGAGGCTGCGGCGAGCTGAGCGCTAAGCTCCGGAGCGCGAGCTGCTCCACCTCAGCTTCTTCTCGCCCAAGACAGCCTTCTTCTGGCGCTCTCTCTTCGCTCGCGGCTCCCTCGCGGCTCACGGGGCCCGGGCGAGAACGCGCAGGCCGTAAGTGACACTGCCGACCTGCCGCCAGGAATCCGGGAAAAGTCGCACCTGGAAAGGAGAGCGCACGCACCCGCAGAACCCACAGACACTCTCACACGCGCACGCGCCGCGAACCCGAACCCCGTGTGCCGACGCTCGGACTCGGGCCTGCTCCAGCCTGCAGGTTGCATGCATCCTTTAGGTCCTAGGTGAGGAGACACCCAAAAGGCGAGGTGCTTCGGAGCACGGGCAGCGAGATGACTCAGTGCAGCATCGTCGACTCCATGGCCTCACCATGAGCTCACAGGGTCTGAGGTACAGCAGACATGCGCGAGTTAAGTCTCAGGGTCCAACAGCCATGCACCGTCAAGGACATCAAGCTGCAGTGGCCCTCACCTTGCAGGCTGTTTGCAAACAGAAGCCTCCACCCTACATGTTAAAACGAACAGTTTCCTGGCTTGGTCTCACTGGGGGCGCGGCTGGACGACGTGAGCGAGCTCAAGATGTCCTTGAGGGTAAGGGGCGCAGCCTCAAGGCGAATTTCTTACCTGCCTTACCCAGGCCGGACGCACATGGATCGCAAGCTCATCGCAAGGATCAAGTAGTCAAGTAGACCGTGAGTCGAATCGCCGCATGTGTGTTCTAGATTTAAGATTTAGATCTGAGGACCGAGCATAATCCAGGCAGAGAGATCTCAACTGCTTCAGTTTCGAGATCGCCTGCTGAAGACAAGAGTAGTTCTTGATCCTGTAGCATCTGAGGCGCTTGAATTGCTGCGGCCTCCAGCCAGAACAAGGCTCTGCCGGTATCCTCGGGAACAAGCTGGGCAAAGCTCTGCGAAGCAGCAGATGTATCTGGCTGCATGGTTAGCTTAAGCCGCAGCACCGATCTGGCATGCAGTGCCAAATGAAGGTTGACAAGGCCCCCGACCTGCAACATTCAGATCAAATGCCGCCATGCCCAGCTGACCGTGCATCTCGGGCCTGACTGGCTCTGCCAAGCGCCACTAAAGGAGCCAAGAGTGCTGCTGTGGCGTCAAGCCTCAGAAGGATGGCCCGAACAAGCAGCAGCACTGACGCTATTGCCTCTGGCTGTAGGTGTTTCTGTCTTTCTTTCCGCAGGGCTAGAGGGTGCTTCTCCCTCCCCCAGCTCTCTTTTGCTTGCTTGCTTGCGAATGGTATGGGTTCCCGAAAGAACCCTGGCCCGAAGGCCTACCCCCAACAGTTCGCCGCGGTCCGTCTGAGAGCCCCTTGCTTGCTTGCATGCAGACAAGGAGATCAGCAGGCGCCCTCCCGCACGCGAGCACGCACCGAGTTCACTGTCTGTGGTTGCTCACAACTAGATGAGGCACCCTTTCTCTTGCTCTCTCTCCCTGCCTCAGATAAAGTGAGCTAGACATCATGTCTTGCCGTAAATCCTGCTGGATAGCCCCAGGTCTCGTGGCCCCTTGAATCTTGAAGCACAGGGAAAGCATGCGATCATCGTCGTTTACCAAACGGCTACCACTGTACAGCCTGAGCTTCCCGGCGCAACATGACGTAGAACCAAGCGCCTCAATCCCGGTGCCTTGTGACTGTGAGCATCGGGCATCTGGCGAAATCTTGCTGCCAAAAGCGCGCAATACGATCTCCCAGAGAGCACTATTGCTATTACTGATGCTGGTCTTGGTCTGTGCTTCCGCTTGTGACTTTTGAGTGGGGTGGCGATGGTGAAGATAGTATCGGTTGTGTTTTTCTGCTCGCTTATCCGAAGACAATATGCTGATACTATCAACATTAGTCCGGTCATTGTCGTTGATACGAGAGCTTCTAGCACTAGTGCCAGCAGGAGTACTAGTGCTAGTAGTCGCGGTCGTCGTCGTGGCCGTTTTTTGTCACCCACCTAGCACGGCCACGCCAGCTCCGCGGGGCTCTATGAGAGCAACGACGACTGGGAAATGCATTCTGTGAATTCCATAACAACTGAACCCGCACCGGCCTCTTGCGACAACAGCGAGAACAACAAGTTAAGGCCACGCAGTATAGTAGCCAGTGCCGGTCCACAGACAACTGTACACCCCCTCTAGCGCGCACCAACTTCCCGGTCAAAACACGCAAAACACAAGGTAAGGCCACTCATTACAGTTAGTGCAGGCTGGGATTCACGGCACTCAAGTGTAAAAACTTGGTACACTTCCCGATTTGTGCGTGTCACCCTTGCGCAGGGGCCATGCTAATCTTCTCTGTATCGTTCCAATTTTATCGGAGGATTCCCTTCGGGTAGTAGTTGTAGCAGCAGCAGCAGCAGCAGCAGCAGTAGCAGTAGCAGTAGCAGTAGCAGTAGCAGTAGCAGTAGCAGTAGCAGTAGCAGTAGCAGCAGAAGCAGTAGAAACAGCGGAAGCAGCGGAAGCAGCGGAAGCAGGTGTAGTGTAGCAGTGTAGCAGCGTAGGAGTGTAGCAGTGTAGCAATGTAGCAGTGCAGCAGCTCAGCAGTGTAGCGGGGTAGCAGTGTAGCAGTGTAGCAGCGCAGAAGTTTAGCAGTGTAGCAGTGCAGCAGTGTAGCGGTGTAGCAGTGTACCAGCAGCAGCAGCAGCAGCAGCAGCAGCAGCAGTCGCAGTGGCGAAATAGATGTAGCAGCAGCAGCAGCAGCAGTAGGAGTTGCAGTAGCAGCAGCAGTCGCAGTGGCGAAGTAGATGTAGCAGCAGCAGCAGCAGTAGCAGTTGCAGTAGCAGCAGCGGAAATGCTAGTAGTGGCAGAAGTAACAGTAACAGTAACAGTAGCACGATTATATGTTGACCGTGCTGACCTTGGCACCTCGCCTGCGTCGTAAAGTCCTCCACGATTTTGTTTCCCCAGTCTACAGGAGCAAGATCCAAGTCCTGCACGACATGCACAAGCGCTTGAGACATGGCTTCGGGTTTGGTCCTGGATGTCGCTGCAACCGCGGGCTATGTCGACGGGATCCACGGCCTTGGTGAAAATCTTTGGTGCGGTCGGCGTTTCGCCTGAAAACTCAGTGAAATCAGTGCTCAGGTCTTCGAAGATGATCTGAGCAGAGGACGTCCCTTGGATCAGACTGCTGACACAGCTGCGCACAAAGGCCTTATTCTGTCCCGTAACTTAAACTGCTTACGCTCAACTGAAGGTATATCCGGACAACCCAAGAACTCGTCAGCGACTCGACAACTGTTTCATGAGCCGGCTGCGCTGCAACAGCGGGCAGCACCTCGCTGCGAAGCGCACCCTCACTGCCGGTAAGAAACTTCCGGCTTCCGTCTTTGGCACGGACGCAGCGATGGTGCGAGTGCCGCCCCAAACTCGAATCGCGACTGCCCCTGAGCCCGTATCCGCTCCCGCATCAGCCCCCACTGGTTAGCCCAGCCCAGCAGGGCCCAGGCCCAAGTCCAGCGTGAGCAGACGCCGCCCCAGCCAGGCCAAGGCTCGCAACTCCAAGGCGCGCAAGACACAGCAAAGTGGACCCTACCAGAAGAGAGTCCCGAGAGTCCTACCTGTGGGCACTGAAAGGGCTTTGGCTTTCCGGCCTCCAAGGAGGTGCGGCAGGAAGGATTCTCGGGTCGGAAGCTGAGTGCCTGCCGAAACCCCGTGCCAAGCTTAAAAGCCCCCTCTTCTTTTGTCTGAGTAGCAGACCAAGTGCTGCAAGCGAGGGCAATACTTGGCCAATCCTGAGTCCGAATGAGCGCGAGAATCCCGTTCCGTTGTGAAGACATGCAGAGCTAAGCCAGCAGCGGTCCAAGAGCCTCTGCGGTTCTGGGAAATCCCCTCCGAAGGAGGGCGCATCCACCTTAGGACTAGGCATCTTGATTTCACAGCCTTAAGTTGTGTAACACTGCCTCCAAGGACTCCAACAAACGCATCCCGCAGACCAGTCGGAGCAACTGCCTGCCACAAACGCGGAAGAACTTACACATTGCAGGAAACGCACAGCAGCACGGCATCTCGAAGCGGGCCGTTCACCGAAGCGTGTGGTGTCACAGATGGTCAGCTGTCGAGCCTCAACTGCTATTTCTGACTCTACGGACCTCCAAAAGAAATCGAGAGACTTGAGAGCTCAGCATTGCGACAGTGCTGACCCAAGAAACGCAGGCAGTCGCTCTGCCGATTTATGGGTACATGCACCTGTGATCAGGAGTTATCCCAGACTCACTTGGCAGCACACGGACAAAGCGAAGTCGCACCCAGCTGAGGGCGACATGTTGCTGCGGCTGGCCAGCCTCAACGCATCACGTCGTCCCTTCGCATCTGTCCCCACATGTCCGTCCCTTTCTGGGCAGCGCTCCCAGAGTTCGAAAGCGTTTGCCGTGACCGAATGGCAAGCACCTGGCATGCAGACGCTGCGAGTCCGTGCGAGTCCACGCATCGATTCTTGTTTGTTCGTGAATCTCTCGCCGGCAGGACGGAAGGCGCACATTGGCGCCCAGGAAAGCATCGAGAACCTGAGCTTCCAGATGTCCGGAAAGCTTGTTCTTCCTGTTTTTCGCGACAGGGGGCTCGGCACATGCACAGCAATGAAAAGCTCGGAGTCTGCCACATCCTTCCAGGACAATGCAGCCTGCCACCAGGGAGTGCCGAGCCGCAGCTGCCAGGTTTTGCGGACTTAGATCAGCCTGAACGATCTCTTCCCAAGTCTGGTGACCGGCATGGCCACGAGCTGCCTGCACCCAATTGTTCTTGCGGGGAAGCTCGCGCAGCTCTGTGCCTCCGGTCCCAGCCGTCCCCTCAGCCTCTCGATGCTTCTCAGAGTCAGAATGGCCCGCTTTGGGGCGTCGGGCGAGGGCAGGCTTCCGCGAGCCCTGAACCCTTTCAAAGAAGCCGGCTTCCCACTGTTCCGGGAGGTGGACCAAGACGAAGAGACTAAGCCTAACATAGCCTAAGCTCCTAGGCGTGCCATGCTCGGATAGTTCGCACACCCTCCGACTCCATCATCCTGCTTGAACGTGTCGAAGAAGATCTGGACAAGCTCGGCACACTGCTGGGTATCGCGTGGGTTTCCAGCTTCCAGCACATTCACCAGGATTTCGGTCAAGTTCCGGTAGCCTCTGCACCAAGGTTTTTTTCAAACTTCAACCGGCTTGGACTCACTTGCGTTGAGGCTGGGGCTCACCGCCGAGTCCAGCTGCAGCCCTGCAGGTGTTGATGCCGGTAGCTCTGAAAGCCAGGCCTCACGACGACACTCGAACACTCTTCGTCTGTGGCGTCCCACGTCTCCCCCAGGCCGAGCTGCATTCACGAAGGGCCCCAACACGTGCCGCTGAACTTCGAAATGCTCCTCACGCCCGAGGTCCTGCACAGATGGGAACCTCGGGGCAAGAATACGTGAGCAGCCCAGCCAACCAATCGAATCGGGACCCGTTGTGACCCCTGCAACCTGTCGCTGCACGGACACAGCACCTGATAAATCTCGCACAATAATCACAATAGTGCCGTTCCACCGACCGCGCCCCAAGCCCGCATCCAACTACAGCCATTGCTGTCGAGCTTCAGAGTCTGTGTGAGTCCTGTTCGTTCTGCAGCATCCCTCGCCAGTCTAAGCGTTTCTTGCGCCCGGTTTGGTGTCCGCAGCGCGTCGACGGCCAGCTGACGAAATGCACTTCTCAAGCTTAGGGCTGTGCTGGACCCGATCACAGCTGCATCAGCCAAGGCTGCTGCTCCCGCCCCCGTGCTCATTGCACTCTTGGCTATGACCGCTGTGCCGGCAGTGGCCACTGTGGCGGCGAGCCCCAGCCTAATGAATCGGCCGTGGGACGTCTGGAGAGATCGTGCAGTCTCCGCCGAGAGAAATCGGCGAACCCCAGAAGCTTCCCCCAACCTGGTGCAAGTGAGGCTTCCCGAGCAAGATAGAGAAGACCCTTTAGTGCAGCCAGGATGCTTGCACCAGCGAGCGAGCAGCTCGCTGTTTTTCACTAGGAGATTGTACTCGACCTGAATGGCGGCATCGGCGAGACGGATGAAACATCGTTCCACAGAAACGGTTCGGCCTCGTTGCCATCATCTTCATCTAACGCGACCACGCTGAGCGCCCGCAAGACCGTAAGAGCCCTGGGAGAATGGTTGATGGATTTGAAATTTGATGGATGTGGGATGCTTGCACCTAGCAGCGGTTAGCACAACCAGCCTTGGATCTTCCGCCTGGGTCGAACAGGTCCCCGATCTGTAGAGCAAGAACTGGCCATGCCTCACCGAAGCGCCATGGTGCGCCTTCTGACGTCTCCCAGCCTACGACTCCTAGGACTGCCACGTGCTGCGAACACGCTCCCTGCTTAGCCTGGCCGAGCAGCGAAATGCCATACTGGCATCTGTGTACTTGCCTGCCTTGGGCGAAAGCAGCCAAAGAGCACCTTACGGCATCGCTCTGCCACTGAAAGAAGCATCAAACAGTGGAGTCGAGAACATTTGCTAGGATTCTTTAAAGACCCGAAACCAAGCGACACTTCGATTCGGCCTGGCTCGGCTCCTGGTGGCTTGAAGCGTACCACAGCGCAGCAATTCAGGGTGTCGTGCACGCAGTCTTTGGAGCAAGGCTGGGTGTGGACCACTATGCCGTGGAGATTGTACGTCCAACCAAGCTTCCAGGCCTTGTGCACAACAAACTTTCCCCAGGCAAGACATGATTGCAACCAGAGAAATGCACCAGTGGAGGCAGAGGCGCGTAAACATGGTCTCCTGCTCGGAGCTGCGCTTTGCAGATGCCGTGGATTCCAGCTGCATCCATCATCGCCGACGTCCCATCCCGGCAGGCGACTACCCCAAAGCTGGCCCAATCCAAAGGCGACATTGCGTCAGCGGACGTACATCTGACTCATCTAACCCCTGCGAATGGCTGCAAAGGATCAGACAGAGGTTCTCCGCTTGCGAATATTGCATATCGGGCTCCGTTCACAACCCAGAACAACGCAACAGACCGCGAAGCCTCGCGCCACACACACTCGTCCGGACCGCCGATCGCCTCAACAGCTTGCCGGGCAGCTGCAGCAAATGCCTCGGCTCGAACTCATTTTCTAAAAGCACAGACCCCGATAGTGATCATAGCCGAGCTCTGCTCTCGCAGAGGCTCTGCCAGATGTCCAGCGCTGGACCCACATTCCATGCGGCATATGAAGCATTTACATTCGCGGAAGCCGTGTCAGATCACTATCTCATAAGAGTTAACACTACACGGCACAGCGGCTTTCCAGCTTGCATTGAACATTGTCACAATGTCTAACCCCAGTGAAACCTGCAGAGCACATGCAGCCGGCAAACAAACCTGAACATGACGCCGCGGCAGCCAGTGCACTCCACGTCGGCTTTTTGTCGCGCTCGGCAATACGATCCGGTTGGACGTGCCTGATACGTAGGGGTTGAAACGATTCGGAAAGGCCGGCGGGACCAGCCTGCATCCGGAGATTTCAGCAGCTAACACTTGCAGAAGGAACCACATGTAGCCCGCAGCAGAAAAATGAAATCGCAGGATTAATAACATTTGCACCGTGTGCTAGGCCTCGGCTGGAACAAAGGTTCCGCAAAAGCGGAAGGCTGAGAACATGCAACGGTACGAAAGCTCCCAACAAAAACATAGCATTCCTGGCACCTCTAGAATCCGTAAAGATCTTCTGCCGCATTATCAGCTTCATGACTTCACGGTTCAAACATGCTTCAAACCAAGCCGTATTACTTCCTGATCTTTCGCTCAGTTCCAAGGATGACCTGTCTGCGTGACTTGTCTGTCTTGCACAAGCTTGGCCCTAGCTTGCCAACCTGCAATCGAGAACGGCCTCACCCAAAAAGAGAGCAGAGAGATGCCGAAGTATCCGAATGCAAAACCCGGCTCCAAACTCAGCGATGTCTGGCCACAACTTTTGATTTCTACGAGGATGTGATCCGTTGACGCAGAGCAGAAAGCGGAGGCATGTCCTAAACCGTGCCTACAGGCCTTAATCCTCCGACTTGCGCCACTGCTTTCCTTTGCCTCGCGGACGCCAGCAAAACAAATTGGCACACATTGCCCTAATCGTTGCGTGCCTTTGCCTTTGCTCTTGCCCTTGGCCACAGGAGGGCCTCAACCATGACGAGCAAAAACTAGAAAGACGCAGAACGAAGGACGGACTGTGAGGTTAGCAGGTCGACATGCTGCGCGTCTAGATTATCTATATCCATGTCTACCTTCCTTGTCTTTTATCGGTGAACGGCAATTTTTGCCGTTGGCGGAGGAGGCTCCCCCTGTCTGCCGTCGGTGCGAGTGTGCGTGTGGATGTACTGACCAAGCATTTGCGAAGGTTCGCAAGAGGAAGAGCTTTTGAAAAGTGTCCGAGAAGCGAGCTGTGTCGCCAAGTGACCAAATCCAACCCAGGCTGGCTTGGGGGTACTCCCTCTTCATTTTGGGGGGGCTCGTGGAGGCTTGGGTGGCACAGTGAAGCTCGGATTGAAGGGCCCGGCTTGTCGAACTGCTGCCGGAGCCCTAATGACGCAAACGGAAGGGCTGAGATGGCTTAAGTTTTCATATGAAGGAAAACGCACTCTGGGATCTCGGAACTCCTTGACGTACACACATACACACATACATGCATGCATAGGTTTGTTCATGAATAGATAGATACATACTCGTCCGAGGTATTCGAGGTGACCCAATCTAAACGGCACCCAAGCCACCATGCCAACGGTGGCCCAACGTGAAGACAGTTCCGGAGATCGTCGGTCATGTGCGACAGGCACGAACATCTCGCGGTTCTGCCACACATGGCTGACCTCACTGACTGAGCTTGTTGACCGACCTCTGCGCTGTTCAGTCCGCGAGGGCGTCAGCACAGCATCCGAACACACGTGACTTAGAGGCCTCTCACGTCGCTTGTGCTGCCCATCATGCCCAATTCTACGACTGATGAGGTGCGAGCTGGGCTTACGCTTACGCCACGTCCCTTGTCGCACCGTTCGCTTCGGAGGCAACGCGTCCAATATGACCAAGTCTCAAACTGACGAGACCATCCCACGAAGACGTAGCGAATGACGCGTGACGGCAGCACGCCTTTGTTGCCTCCCTCGTCTTCTTTCAGCATCATGATGCCACCGTCGATCGAATAGCCGTGGAGGCGCTGCAGCGCCCGCCTCACACCCAGGGGCAACGCACCCCTGGCCCCTCACAATCTCTCACACCGGACAAGCGGGTCCTGCTAGCTGAGGCTGCCGCTGAGCCCCTCGAAAATGGTCGAATCTGCAAGTTCCCTTTCCCAGGGAGCTGCCATCCTACAAGAGGATTTCGCAAACTTGCAAACATCCCAGAGAAAACAGCCCGCGAAGCAACGCAACATTGCAAGCCTGGTTTCGCCAGAAGTCGAAGTCTACAATTGTCCCCACTCTCTCGAACCTGGCAATGCATGCCACCAGGATGCCACCAGTCGCTATTCTCACATCCACGGCGCTAAAGATGTGCTAAGATAACGGCTGACTGCGCAAAAAGCCTTCCGTCGTGCCGATTGGGACACCACTCCAGAACACCTACCACAGACTTGGCGTCCAAACCCCTGCCGCACGAGTGAAAGCAAGACAGCCTTGGTGCCATCTCCAGGTTCGTCATTGCCTGGACTTCAACCGAACATTGCATCGCGCTGGGCTCACACATCAGTGGAAACGAAGTGCCTTTGCCGCGGCTTTGGGCCGGTCGCAGGACTGCATGCATGACAGAGATAACAAGCAATGAAGAAGAAGAAGAAGAAGAGTCATTGAGGCAGACGACAAAGAACTGCTACAAGTTCGGGGCACTTGGCAGTTGCGAGAACTGCGAGCACACACGCTGTCCGGCTGGCTCCTTCTTCGTCTTCCGCCGGTTTGGGTCCAGGGCCTGGTCTTTTCTCATCCTGATCCAAAAATGTGGACAGCCCCCGGCTGCTGAGGGTGTGGGATTATGCGTGGCCTTCCGCACCAGAATACTTCTCCCATCTATGGTACTGCCATTGAGGCTCTCAATGGCTGCTTCTGCCTGGCGATGCGGCGATGCGGTGGTTCTCAGTTGAGGCTCAAACTCTCAAGCTTTGCCTCATCCACTCGGCTGTATGTACACGTGCCTGGCAAAAGCACCCTCCAGGCGTGCAGCTGTCGCACAAAACTGGGATCCAAGCCCATGCCGTGAGAACCTGCAAAAGGATGAAACGCCCGTGGCGAGGCTTCATGTCCATGAGGCTCGTTGACGAATTGAGGTCTGTGCGACCGTCTTTTCTTCTCCAGAAATCGAAATCAATGATGTCCCCATACCGCCTCATTCGTGCGGCACACCAATGCCAGCCAAAGACATCTTGGACGACACAATCAGCCAAGCTGCTCGAAAGACCTGCCTTGGAAAACCAATGTCTTGTCGGTGTGGGATTACTTGCAAAGGACACGAATGCTGTGGCACCGACGCAAGAATCCCTCGTTGGTGGAATAAGGAACACCGTCCCAGAAGATGCGGGCCTCGCTGCTTCTAGTGATGTGAATGAAGCGAAAGCGGGCAACATCATCATGAAATCATACATGTCCGGGCATCACACTTCTCGGAGACCTTTCCCGCCACCTTTGCGCGAATGGCCTTAACAAACAAATCTGCGCTTTAGCGACAGGGTTTGCATCGTAAAACTCAAGCCCTGAACGCTCGTTTGGTTTTACCAAGATGGGTCGGCCATCCACGTCAGTCCCATCCAGCTCTGTAACCTTAGATGGCCCGGTGGTGCCATTGCACACCAGTCACCAGTCCACACGAATCGAACATCGAGTGCGTGGCAGCTCGGCTTGCACCTTCGGGCGTCAAGAATGTTACCACACCTGCACCAATGGAAGTGCCACCTCGGCCAGCAAGGCAGAGGCGGAGGGGTGGTCATTTTCCATAACGGGCCCAGTGTTGCTGACCGAACTGTGGCTGGCACGTGATGTTTCGTACAGCCTAATGGAAATAGCTGCAACATGAGCATGCAGGCAAGCTAACAAGCATCAACATTACGAATAAAACCCAAAGCACGTGCAACATTCGGAAAAGATGCTCCACGTACTGGACTTCGCCGACTTTGGAAAAAAAGCGGCGCAAATATCCAGCCTGGCATGCAGGAGTCGCTGGCTACTGCTTCCCAGAACGCACGCGGCCCGAGAAGGCCTTCTTTCAGGGCGGAAACTAGCACATGGCAAGCTCCAATGCAACTGTTCAAAGACAAACCAGATGATCGAATCCAACAAGTCAGCGGGACAGTGGTGTCGTACCTTCCGATGCCGAAATGGCACAGCATGGCACCAAAAATATTCACGAGAAGGGCACGACAAGTTCGAAAAGAACACACTGCACTCCAGGGGCCAGGGCCTCGGAGGGTTGCTTGGACGGGAAGATGCATGTTTGAAATAGCCGGACCAAAGGAAAGCACACATTCACAGTGAAGGCACCGCAAAAACACTGCCAGAAATGTTTCCGTGGTGCTCTGGGGTCCGCGCTCCATCCTGTCACGGAAGGGGCCTCGGCACGCTGCGATGCACATGGCAATCGGACCAAGAACGATTGGCATTGCTGGTGGCATGCCACAAATAAAGATCTGTTTTGCACATACACACACACACACACACACCTCTTTTACGTCCGTCCATTTCCCTATCCCAGTGCACATGCCCAGAGTCCAGGCCACAGACTGCGGGGCAAAGGAGGGCTGTTCAGAGTCAACCAGAACGTCGCTGAAGCGCGGCATGTCTCCATCAACGTTGGCGGTGTCGGACAAGGGAAGGGAGGGGAGGCTGGCAACAAAGGTCCGCACGGCTGCTAAAGCCAGGGGCGCAGACCAGCGCAACACGAACGCGGCAGTGCACGCCGCCCGCTGTGCAGGGGAGCCTCACAGGGCCTTGCTCCGGGCAAGGAGTCAAACAAACTCAGTGGCTTGGGGACTCCAGCGTCTTCCGACCTCACTGCCACGGACGACAAGCCGACAACGACGCCCGGAAGCTGGGTATGTCCGAGCTTTTGCACGTTCAGCAACACGCAAAGCTGCCCCAACCGTGTGGCCGCTGTCCCGGCGCGGCATGCCAGCTGCAGTGAGTGCCGACACCAATGTGGTGTCAACGGCAAGCTGCACACCGCCCCACAAGGGCAGGCCGTTCGCGATGACTTCGATGCGTCCCTCGTCCTGGCAAACAGGGACAACATTAAGATCACGCACCAGGGCATGCATCGCGACAGTGGCGCCCGCCTCCAGGCAAACTCTGGCCGCCGCTCATTCAAGCGGCACGAGCGCAACACACCAGACCGTGGGCAAAATGATCGCCAAAGATTGGCGACACCGGCATCTCGCTGCTGTGAGGGGGAGTGGCAGGCGGAGCCAACGCAGCAGGAGAGCTCAGAAGAGCGGGGATTCCAGGGTGAGCTCAGGCGAGTTGGGCCGTGCAGTGAAAACGCGGGCCGCGTACGGTGCTGCTTGTGAATCGACAACAAGGCTCGTTGGCAGAAGCCGTCGACGGCCTGGGATGCGGCACGCTGCCGGCCACAGGCGGTCAAGCTGTGGCTCGTCTTCGACGAGCGGGTGCGACACTTCGCCGTGAAGCACGTCGTGCCAGGACGGGCGTTCAACGCCAACGGCGGACAAAGAGTCGTGGGCAGTTTGAAGTGGCAGCATCTCTGACAGCTCGCTTGCGGTGTCCAAGCCCTGGACAGGTGGAAGGGCGAAAGGGCGGTCGCGCTTGAGCATGGTAGGGAGAGCATCGGCCCAGGATGCCCAAAAGGCCGCTGGCGCATGGCCGACCGCACTGCCCAGGGCGAGGCGGCCATGACGCAGAGCCAACTGCACACGAACGGCAAGTAGGGCCCCCAATCACTTGCGCCCCCCCCGAATCCATCATCTCCGCCCCCCCCCGCCCCGGGGCCGGGCATGGGCTCCGCACAGACAGCCCAAACAGCCCAGACAAGCCAGACAAGCCCGGACAAGGACAGCCCGGACAGCCCGGACAAGCCGGGACAGCCGGGACAGCCCGGACAAGGACAGGACAAGCCCGGACAGCCGGACAAGCCCGGACAACGGACAAGCCAGGACAAGCCCGGACAGGTTGTTTTTTTTTTGAGCACCTTTTTCCATCTAGCAGTTAAGGTCGACGGAATCCACATTGGACAGGTTGGACACTTAGGGTTTTCGTCTTCGGAAAAGGGTTCCTGCTGGATTCAATCCTTAGGCCTGCGGTTTACTCTTTAGCGTGTTCGGCTTTGATAGAAACAAAGGTTATCGTCTTGGGTGTTCACTCCTTAGGGTTTACTCCTTAGGGTTTTCGTTTTCGGCCGATGGTTCCTGTGCGGTTTACTCCTTACCGTGTTCGGCTTTGATAAAACCAAATGCTTGAATTCACTCCTTAGGGTTTTCATCTTGGGTACTCACTCCTTCGGGCTTATCTTATCGTTCTGGGTTCAAGTTTCCTGTTGGATTCACTCCTTGGGCTTGTCGTCTGTGGGAAAAGGTGGCCCGGACAGGGGCCGGACCTTCGAGGTTTTTTGAGGAAAAGGTTTGGGTTTTCGTTTTCGGCCGATGGTTGCTGCGCGGTTTACTCCTTACCGAATTTTTTCTTCAAGTTTCCTCTTGGATTCACTCCTTGGCCTTGTCGTCTTTGGGAAAAGGTGGCCCGGACAGGGGCCGGACCTTCGGGGGTTTTGAGGAAAAGGTTGTGCGCTTGTCCGGGCTGTGCGGGCCCTGGTTTGGGCTGCCTGCTTGTCCGGGCTGGTCGTCCTGGCTGTCCGGGCCTCCTGTCGTCACTGTCCGGGCTTCCTGTGGGCTTGTCCGGGCTGTCCGGGCTGCTGATCATCGTCGCTGTCCGGGCTGCCTGTGGGGTTGTCCGGGCCGATCGGGCCTCCTGTCTATCGTCGTCACTGTCCGGCCTTCCTGTGACCGAGCTGCTGATCATCGTAGCTGTAGCTGTCCGGGCTTCCTCTGGCTTGTCGGGCTGTCCGGGCTGTCCGTGCTGTCCGGGCTGTTGGGGCCGTCTTGGTCCAAGGAATTCAGAATGGTGCCTGGTTGGGGGGGGGGGGGGCAGGGTTGATGGGATTGGGGGTGGGCAGAAATGACGGTGCAACCGACTTGACTTGAAAGGGGAACCCTCATCGGCGTCAGCGAACAGGAGAGAATCTAACACTGCGGCATCATGACGCATCGCAAACTCGTGTGTGCTGCCAGTGAGGAGCGTGCGGAGAGCATACTGCGCCCGCGGGCCACCCGACCCGACTTCCGACTTTTCATCGCGTAGTGGTGGGTGGCACGCTTCTGCAAGGGAGGCCCCGCAAACTGTTGTGCCAGCGTGCGAACGACCAGGCGGCGCGGGAAGTCGCCGACCACAAGGCCTCGTGTGCCACCACTGGGCTAGCACAGCGCGGCGGCCCAAGTCCAAGGGCTGGCACAATGTCGTCTGGGACGCGGGCACACGCACTTTGGGAGGCGACATCCGAAAATGACAGGGAGGCATCGGCAAGGAGTGCAACACGGTTAAGCACAACTTGAACGACACCTTTGTTTTTTGTTTTTTTTTTCGCGCACCTTTTTGCGACAGCAGAACGTGTCCGGTCGAGCTGGGGTTTGATGGCCTACCGTTGCCTACCACTGAAGAGGGTGCACTCAGGGCACCACACTGCAGCTAGCATGGGGGCAGGCGGCTGGCCGGGACCTCCTGGAGCCACCTGGCGTCAGCGAGGACCTCATGCAGGTCAGGCTCGGTGCCCTCGCTGGGCTCGGCAGCAGGAGGGAGTTCAAGCAGTGAGGCAGCGTACGCTCGCTGCGCGGCGACTGCAAGGAGTCCGGACGAGCGCGCTGCCCAGGCATTAATGGCGGTCGAGCGGAGGTGGGCCGCCTACTGCAAGACATCCCCGACCGACCTGTTTGCCAATTTGCCCGCCCATGGGCCGCGACTCCTCGCGCTAGACCTGCGGGAAGGCAGCCGTGGCTGGGTGTGTGCCCGTGGGTCCCCGCCACAAATCCTACCGGTCCTACCGTGCACACCTGTTCGGGTCGCACTGGAGCCCCCACCAGCTGAGGTCCTCCCAAACCAGACAACAGGTGAGCAGCCATGGTACACACCCCCTTCTGCAGGCAGCTTTGCCAGCCCGACGCACAGTTGGATTTTCGTTCCGTTGTTGCATGCTGCCGTCGGCCGACTGCACCCTCAAAGCGAGCAACAATGGGCGAGCCATGCGAGCTATGGAGACATTTGGACACGATCCCTCCACGCCGCTCCGGCGCCACCACACTCCCTCACTCACGCTTTGCACGTCTTGCAGCAGCTTGCGTCTGGCAAAGGACGCCCCGTGCCTGTGCAAGAGGCCCAGCTGCTCCTCAGCCTGGCCGCCGCTACCAATGCTCTGCCCACCAACACACTCGTGCACTTGCCATGGGCATGGGGCCAGTTCGTCTTGCCCGATGGGTACATACCGGCTAGCACTACTCCACGTGTACCTCGGCGAATCGGCAGCAGCCCACCTGGTGCAGCAAGTGGCGCACGCGCAGGCCCCACCTGACCCTCCTCCACAGACCAGCGTGCCGCAACAGCCCGCCAACCCCACCCAACGCCCTGGCTCCGCCGCGAACTCCTCGTCTAGTTCTTCGCCATCTCCCGCGCCTGGCGGCCCGGCCCCTTTGCAAGCCTCCGAGGCCGCGGACGAGCCTGTGCATCCCCAAACACCTGCCTCCGACCGTGCGCCGATCCAGCCTAGCTCAGTCCAAGACACGCCGCTGGCAGGGGCTCGATTGCGAGCGGCATTTGCAAGTCTGGACGCGTTCGGTGCATCCCACGTGTTGCAACAGCCTTGCCCTACCTTCCGGTCTCCGCCCAAGCTCTTGCGAGGGGCACTCCGCCAAGCCATGCATCTAGCCTTGTCGCACATCCAGTCTTTCGCAGCAGCTCCCACCAGCATTGAGTCCGAGCGAGCGTGGAAGTTGTGGCTGTTCCTCCCACGCATACTGTTACTGTTGTTCCGGCCGCAGGCTGCTCCTCGCCTGCCTGTTACTGGGCTACACTCCTGAGAGAAGCTGCCACTGCTGCGCCGCCGGCCCGAGCCCCAATCTCCGAGCCTGGAGCTGAGCATCGTGCTGACAGGGCTGTCCATCTTGCTCGCCTGGGCGAGCTCTCTGCCGCTCGTCGCGCTCTCCTCAGCGAGCCTCTTGCCCCGGGCGACCAAGCGACCCTCCAGCAACTGTGTGACCCTGACCGCCGCCCGAGCCAGCCTTACGCACCGCTTGACCCAGATCTGCTGTCCTGGCTCCCTGAGGTGCCTGTCGCGCTGCCTGCACCTGCCTTGCTTGCCAACCTGCGTCGCTCGCGCCGAGGCGCTGCACCCGGCCCCAGTGGACTCACAGCCGACATCGCAAGACTGCTCCTCGACGATGCCGACTCTTCAGAAGCTTTCAGCGCTCGCCAGAGCCCGCCTCCCCACCTCCATAGCTTCTGCACTTGGCCTTGGCCGCCTCGTTGCATTGCGCAAGCCAGCCGGTGGCGTCCGTGGACTGGTTTGCGGAGACTTCCTCCCCAGTTTGGTTGCCCGCACACTTGCCCAGCAGTTCAGCCGACACATAGATGAAGCAACCCGCCCCCACCAGTTCGCCTTGTCCACACGAGCTGGGGCTGAGGCTCTCGCCCACTCCCTTCAACTCGAGACCGATTCGGATCCCAGCTGCATTGTTCTTTCTGTCGACGGCATTGGTGCATTCGACTTCGTGAGCCGCCGAGCCATGCTGACCGAGCTCCAGCACACAGCCGATGCTTCTGCCATGCTTCCCTTCGTCCGCCTGTTCTATGGCGCTCCGTCTTCATTTGTCTGGACTGACGATGAAGGCGTCACCCACCTCGTGCCCCAGGCCGAGGGTGGCGAGCAGGGCGATCCGCTTATGCCCGCGCTGTTCGCCCTTGGACTTGCACAGGCGCTCCGCTCCTTCCAAGAGGAGCTCCTCCCGGGCGAGCGTGTGCGGGCTTTTCTTGACGACATCTATGTCACCAGCACGCCCGCACACGCACTGCTACAGTGCTGTCGCGCCTCGAGCACCACCTGTTCACGTCCTTGCACATCCGGCTCCATGCCGGCAAAACCCGTGTTTGGAATTCTGCTGGTGCACGCCCGCCCCCTCCCGATGGGTGCACCAATTGGGTTGGTGACCCAGCCCTTCCCCCGCAAGACCGTGGTTTGCGTGTCCTCGGCAGCCCCCTTGGAACTGCTAAATGTACATCAACCTGTGAAGGCGTTTTGTGTTAAAGGAAAAGTTGGGAAACTTTGTATGGTAGCGGAGCGCTACTGACCGGGATTCCTTTGGGTGTCTCCTGGTGTCGGCGCTCTCGCTTGTGGACAGGACCCAGATCCACCACTAGTGCAGTTGACCTTCTTACTGTCCCCTAGACTTTGGTCCCGGGGCGAAAAGGAGAGTCAAGGGACAGGACCCAGATCCCTGAGTTCAGTTGTGTAGCGCCGTAGCGCCCCTGAGCCGCAGTGAAGCCCGTCTTGTGCGGCATACTCTCTCCTCCTTGCGTGTGTGTGTGTGTGTGTGTGTGTAGTACGCTTTCACGGCGGCCAGAGCCTCGTTGTGTACTACCAGTCCTGTGCAGCAGCGGCGGTTCGTTGTCGGCGAGGGCCAGTGAAGTCGTTTACGTGAGGGAGATATGGATCAGCCTCCCCAGCTACCTCAGATGCAGCCTCAACCTCAAGCACCAAATCCGTTTGCTCAGTCTCCAGGAGGTGCATCAGCAGCGAGTCAAGCTAGTTTTGCGCCAGTAATTGATGCGATCGGCCAGCTTTTGCAGGCCCACAATCACACGATGCAGCAACTAGCTGAGCGGGCTCCTGAAAGCTCTCAGCTGTGGCGTAAGATCATCCCGAAGCCCGAAAACACTCAAACCCAAAACTCGGGATGAAGAACTTCAACTGTGGCCTGAATTCCAGTGGATTTTCCGTCAGTATGTTGGAGCCGTATCTCCAAAGATGCTTGAGATCATGGATGAAGTCGAACATGAACCTGATGTTCCCATGGATCATGCAACCATGGCGGAATCTGCAGTTTCGCAGTCTAGAGCTTTTCTCTGCGCTGTTGGCTTCCTTGACGAAGGGCAGACCCCTCAGCATCGTACGCTCTGTGTCAGATTCAAACGGCGGTGAAGCTTATCGGCTCCTTGTGCGAACATTGTCTCCTACATCAAAATCAAGAGCTTTAGCGCTTCTTGGTGCCATTGCTCAGTATCCTTCGTTCACCACGGGAAGTTTGCTGGAGCAGATTCTGAAATTTGAAGAGCTACATGCTCGATATCGTCAAGCTTCAGGTAAGGAAGTAGATGAACAACTTGTGAGTGCAGTGCTTCTTCGATCACTTCCTCCCGAAGTCAAGAGTCATGTGACAGTCAATTTGCCTGAAGATGCGTCGTATGCTGTATTGCGTGAGATGCTCATGAAGTGGGAGCGTGGGACTCAGAAATGGTCGTCTTCATTGGTTTCTGGTGGGAATGCGCACTCCGATGCCATGGATGTTGATCAGATTGGGCAGGTGAAGGGTGGTGACAAAGGAAAACACAAAGGAAAAGGAAAGGGCAAGGACAAAGGAAAAGGACAAGGACACCACCAACATCAGCAGCAATACCAGCAACATTACAATCATCAGTATGGGCAAGAGAAAGGCAAAGGAAAGAAGGGCAAGGATGGAGGAAAGCATCAACAACAGTGGAGCCCATGGAGCAAAGGGAAGGGGAAGGAATCGAAGGGCAAGGGGCAAGGGGCAGCGCAGCAAAACCAGTGCCGGCTTTGTGGACAATACGGTCATTGGAAGAACGAGTGTTGGATGAATCAGCATAAGGTGCGGGCCGTGAATGAATCCGAAGCCTTTTCCCCAAATCACGCTTCGATACCGAACCCTTCTATGTCGACCGCTGGTGCGAACCATCAGGCCAAAGTTAAGCGGGTTTTTTGTTTGACTGAGAACGCAGATGCCATCGTCGACAGTTCAAGTGCCAGCATTCACATGCTCCAGTGTTTCACCATTCATGATGCTGGTGATCCATTCTTGAGTACGCCTCGACCTGAGCATGAAGCCTTTGATCTCACTCTTGATGATGACAGGAACATCGGTTGTGGCAATGTTCAGGTCGTCTTTGAAAGCATTGAGGACGAATATTCCAGTGATTCCTGGGAACAGGTCTCTCATTCGGACCAACAGATGTATGAGATAGCGCTGGACAGTGGCGCGGATGTCTCGGTGATGCCGTTTGATTGGGCTTCCTTAGGCTCTCCTGAAGCTTCCACCGTGACTTTGGAGTTGCGTGACGCTCAAGGGGGCAACATGCCACATAAGGGTATCAGATGCTTGGAATTGGACCTAGGAGATGCAATCCTGAAAGAGCAGTTCGTGGTGACCTCGGTAGGAACACCCTTGCTTGCATTCGGGAAGATGCTACGACAAGGGTGGAAGATTGAGCATGAAGGTGATCAATCGTGGCTCAACTTTGAAGACTGCTGGACCCCTGTGTACTACAAGAAGAACACACCGTACATCCAAGTGCACGTGAGAGCAATCCATAGTGTTCAGCCTCAAGGTCCGAGCCACGGCATTGAGGGCAACAGCTCTACTGAGGCTCGACCCAGTATCAGGATGTTGGATGCGTAGTTGAAGTTTGACCCGTTGAGTTTGAGTCGCGGTTGGCAGTTTTCCGAGCTTGAGGGCATCCCAGTTCATCCTGGCACAGGTCGTTCTCATCCTATCGAGCCTGAAGGCTTCCCAGCTCATCTTGGCACAGGTCGTTCTTACCTTGATCCCACGAGTATGATGTCTGTGAGTTTGTGGAAGTTTAGAACCACCGTGATCAAAGTTGACGGCCAATGGAAGGTGTGTGAATTCAACGAGCGTTTGGAGACCCTGGAGAGTCTGGAGCTTCCCCTACCAGAAGTCACAGCCCCGGTGGAAGTGATCACAATCATGACTAAAGATCGTGCTTCGATTACGCAGCTTGGGATTGAGGTCATGTTAGATACACCGGACAGTCCAACATCAATGCAGCACGAGACTGAATCTGAGTTCCAGTACTCCCCCGATGCCCTTGAAGAGCCCCAGAAACTCCACCAGGAATGCCAGATGATGCGGAGTTGCCCGACATTGCAGAGGACAAATTGGAGGCTCCTCCTGCACCTCTACCTGGTATTGGTACCGACTTAGAAGGTGACAGCGGGGTAATCGTCGAGGGGGTTAACTTGAATGCCGATTCGTCTGCTTCAGCCTTGCGACAGGCTTGCAGCATGTTGGGTTGTGGTCAGTCCGGTTCCAAGAAGTTGGCTCAACGAGCACTCGAGGACCAGCTTGCGCTCTCGAATGCGGCCCTTCCTCATCAGCGTAGCGGTGAAGGTCAAGCCATTCCGTATGAGCCCAATGAAGCTGAACGATGCCTACATGAACTAACACATATTCCATTCAAAGCATGGTGTCCTGCATGTATTGCGGGACGTGCTAGAAGAGATCATCACCAAAGCCAGGCCTCTCGCGATGCTCCTGAGAGAAGCGTGCCAGTGATCTCTATGGTACACTAGCTAGCGTATCCTCCCGCCACCTCCCTCTACACCTCCGGGGAGTACGTAGCAAGCCTAGCTTAAGCTAGCTGGCTTCACGCAGTAGCACGGACAACACGAACTTCTCTCTTTTTAGCGTTGTGACGAAGTCCCGCGTTAGCCCGGAGAAGAACTCTAGCCTTTGGCTAGCTAATCTCCAGGGTGGGTTGGGTGGGCACTCGAAATTTGCCCCCCAATAGCTGGGGGCCTTTCAGCACAATGGCCACGGAGTAGCACCGCTTCACCGGCCATGTGCAGACACTCTAGCAAACAGACAAGCTTCGTTCTGTTTAGCTTCAGAGGAAAACCCCTTCGACGTTTTCTAGCGAAACACCTTCGATGTTTCCCAAGGGGATACTGGCGCTAGCATACACTGTCGTACCTCGTCCCTCGGCACGAGTGCGTACACTAGCTAGCGTATCCTCCCGCCACCTCCCTCTACACCTCCGGGGAGTACGTAGCAAGCCTAGCTTAAGCTAGCTGGCTTCACGCAGTAGCACGGACAACACGAACTTCTCTCTTTTTAGCGTTGTGGCGAAGTCCCGCGTTAGCCCGGCGAAGAACTCTAGCCTTTGGCTAGCTAATCTCCTTGCGCAGCCGTAGGGCTACCAGGGACCTAGCTTACGGGCCTTCTTAGCGAACCTCGGAGCCTTCGGCTCTCTGGTCCTTTTCCTCACTCCTAGCTCTTGGAAGTAGCTAGCCGAGTGTTCGAGGAGACGGCCCAGCACGCGCCACTCTAGCTTTTCCCCTCCAGGTTCACCCTGAAGTCCGGGGAGAAACTAGCGAAGTTCTCGTTCGTGAGGTCGTCCGCTAGCTGGTTCAGATCCCTGCGGATCCACTGTAGCTGAAGCTCACAGTTCTTAGCGGAGAGTTCCTCTGCTAGCTCCATCAACACCAGTGTCGACGGGAACTTCGTCGTCATAGCCTTCTTCAGTAGCGCTTCGTTGGACTGGTTGTCAGTGTAGCCACGGATGGCCACCTTGGAGGTCTTCTTAGCATCCCCTTCCGGGACCCAGAGCCTCACACCAACCAGAGTAGCCAGTAGCTCCAACGCGGCTATGACCTTGTTCGGGTCTCCTTTAGCGAAGGCCCAGGGGGCCCATTCCTTCTTCACCTCTAGCGAGAACCAGGGACCGTGGCAGCCGTCCACTAGCTCGAGGAAGCCCCCGGTGCCGCCCCGTCCAATAGCGAGGCCGGCTTCTGGAGACGGCCCCCCGCTTCCAGGCGGTCTGCTAGCCAGCCACAGAGGACGCGAATCATCGTGGGTAGCGTGAGGAGCCCCAGCTTCCCCTGAACGGCCGAAGACCAGGCGTGTAGCGGTCCCAGGAAGGGGCGCTCCCAGTCTAGCGCCATGGAAGCGAACCCCAGGCGCCCTAGCCCTTGTGCGAAGGGCCGAGCCTCACACTTCCCATCTCGGACTAGCTTCCGTAGCCATTCCACTAGCCAGTCGGTTCTCTTCTGAGACAGGCCTAGCCTCCAGGTGGAGTACTCGGTTTCCATGCCTAGCCACTCCCCCCGAAATCCCCCCCTCGTCTTGGCCCACTTGAAGGGGTACCCAAGACTAGCGAGGAAGAGATAGCTTAGCGGGATCCCCATGCGTCCTCTAGCCCCTCGGCCCAAGGACTCGAGGTCGTCGGCATAGAGAAGCATGTCTAGCGGGAACGATGGCCCTAGCAGGTGGTATGTGAGTCGAAGCCCACACGCCGCTATGCGGGTCCACCAGTAGCTCGCACATGATAGCCCGAAGGTCCCACCAGATTAACGTAAACCGTCTGGCTGTCGGGGTCCCCCGGTGTAGCTTCCTCGGTGTCGATCTGACACCCTAGGTAGCCATGCTCTCCTTCGGCATGTTTGTAGCGTCGGTGAGCTTTAGCGATGTCGCCCACCACGGAGAAGGCCACCTCGTTAGCGTCGATGTGCTCCCGAAGTAGCTGCTTCTTCTCCCTATAGCTCCTGGGGCCCGGATCTTGTCCCTGCACTTAATGCGGTGGTTGACCCGGACCCCGTGGGTAGCATCGTGGATCATCCTCTTCTTTCCACTAGCTTCGTCCTCGACGATGACAGCTAGCGCGGCGATGGCTCGATGCTCGCCATAGCGGGCTTTGAACTCCCCTAGCGTCATCTTGACCATGAGGCCCTCCGCCACGTCCTCTTCGAACTTCTCCCTAGCGAACTCACGGTACTCCTCCACCGAGGAGTAGTTCGGGACCCAGGCTAGCGCCGCCTCCCAAGGGGCGTTCTCCAAGGGCCACTTTAGCTGTTCCTCGAAAACGTGGGGAGTGCGTGGTCGGGTCCCTCACCCCCACCGGTAGCCCCTCCTCGGCCTGGAGGAGGAAGTCCCTGTCGGGATCGCCGGCCGCGGTCAGTAGCGCCCGGATGAGGCGGAGGTATAGCGGCTGCCCCGGGGCCACCTTTAGCAGCTCCGGGTCTCCCAGGTCATTAGCTTCCAGCCACTCTTTCCAGATCAAGCGTAGCTGCTCCTGGAGATCTTCGGTCAAGATGCTTTGGGCGTGGCCTTGTGCCCGCTTGGCCCCTCTCTCGCCGCTGCCTGCTCAGAGACCTTTGCCTTCCACTCCGCCGGAGCTAGCTAGGGCACAGCCCGTGGCCCCCCCGGCAGCCATGCGGAAGGCTTCCTTCTCTAGCTCCGCTTCCGAACCTATCTCAGCGAGGATCACCTCCATCATTTTCTCCCGTAGCCAGTCCCAGTTGGGACCTTCGGCGTAGCTGCGGGTAGCGTGGGGCCAGCGTCCTGGGGAGCAGAGGCCCCCACCATCATGGTAGCTCTTGTTGCCACCTAGCTGTTGGCAGGTCCTTGGTGGCCCTGAACCCCCTAGCACTCGCGGACCCTCCGGCTCACAGGTCGGGAAGGTCTCGGGTAGCGGGCACTCCGGCCTAGCGCCACCCCCCTCCCCCTGGGCAGCGGTAGCAGGGTGCTGGCAGGAGTCCAGAATAAGGGTAGCCAGCCACTGGCACATCCTAGCGGGCCACTTCTCGGAACCAGAGGTCTTGAAGGGGCCCTTAGCGGTGCGCTGGAACATGCGGCCCAAGGTAGCAGCGGAAGGCAGCGGTCCTGTGTAGCAGCCCTTTTTGTCATAGCACGGCAGGCCTTCATGTACGAAGTCTGGCATAGCAGAAGAGCATTTCAGTAGCAGCCGCGTCGGCTTAGCGTATGGCGTACCAAAACTAGCCTGGTGGAAGGCCACGGTCCGTAGCCCCTTGTGCAGAAGGTCGGCTAGCGGCGGCCACTGCCACATAGAAGCCGGCCGTGTCCCTTGATGTGGGCCCCCAAGGTCCTCGGGCTGCTCCATGGCAAGGAAGGTAGCTGCACCGTCGGCCACGAGGGTAGCGACCGCAAAGCTGAAATCCGCAAAAATGTTGCCCAGGATAGCGCGGTCTCGCTCTGCAGGTGTTAGCGTTTCCAGACCTCGGGGAAACTCGTAGCTGCGCACCGGGCGAGGCCCTTGAAAGTTAGCCCAAGGTGCTCTGGAGAAGCTAGCGCACGGCGGGGAGAGCACCACTGCGTCGAACTCCTTGCTAGCGATCCGGTCCAGGTAGCTTTGCCGAATCTTGGGCTGACTGAGGTCGTATTTAGCGTGCCGTAGCAGGTCGACACACTCGACCCTCACGTCTTTGTCGAACTCTGCTGCTAGCTGGTGCAGACACTGCGCCACATCTAGCCGGCGCGAGGTACCCGAGAAGAGGTAGAGCACCCGTAGCGGCTTTGTGTGCGTAGCGGCCGGCTTCGCTGGCGTAGCAGCCAGTGGGTCTGGCGTAGCTTCCCCCCCCGGGGGGTCACAGGCACTGAGGGCGCAGCCGCCGTAGCGGGTCAGTTGGAGGGCTTATCCTCCTTAGCGGCCTCCGTTTGCTTGGTGGGGCACTTTGTAGCTGGGTGCTTGCCGAAGCATAGCGAGCAAACGTGCTCGAAATGGCACTTGTTGCCATTCTTGCATCCCTTGGCATTGCAGCGGAAGCAGATGGGCTTCCCCTGCGGGGTGCGATCGGCACCCAGGCGCTTCTTAGCTTTGCCCCCCTTGGGGGGGGCGTCCTTGCCTTTGCCCTTCCCCTTGGGGGTCTTAGCAGGCCGCTCCTCCGTCCAGGTCCAGGGCTGCGGCCGCTTAGCATGGAGGGCTAGCGGTGTAGTGAAGTGCCTCTCCTTCACGCTAGCGTCCTTGTAGGCAAGGACTAGCGCAGCGCCGAAGGAATAGCCGGCCGTGGCCATGACCTTGTACGCGTGCTTCCTGATAGCGTGCTCGTAGCTGAGCACCAAGGTCCACGGGGGCACTAGCGACCCCGAGTCGGCACTGGACCGGAGACCATAGCAATAGTCTCCGAGCAGATAGTCTTTGTAGCGCTCGAAGAGGGCCATAGTGACATCCTGTAGCTCCTCCCGGTTGGGGTGCCTTAGCTGCATCATGATTAGCGTGTTCTGGAGCACCGTGAGCCGCAGCCGTAGCTGCTCCGGCCCAGAAGGCATGGGGGCCCTAGCCCCCCCTTCTTCATGGATAGCGTGCCATTGCCATTCCAGACGGGCAGTAGCGTGTCGGGGTCCCACTCGTCCCGGCTAATGACCTCGGTTAGCGGCTCGGCCCGGAACTCGCCAGCTTCGAGCTCGCC